TTTTACGAAGTTACAGCGTACTTCTGCATATGTTAAAAGATTTGTTCAAAATTTAAGGCATCCTAATAATAATAAATTATTTGGTCATATTTCAATTGAAGAACTAAATAAATCCTTTTACTTTTTATGTGCGGCTGCTCAACGTCAATCTTTTGCTATAGAATATGAAGTTCTCAATAAAAACAAGCAAATAAATACTAAATCAAAAATACTTTTGTCTCCGTTTTTTGATAAAAATAATTTAATTAGAGTAGGTGGTAGAATAAGCGCCTCATGTTATGCTTACGAAAAGTCCTATACTATTGCACTCTTCGCATCGTCTTACAAGATTGTTCTTTGAAAGGGAACATGTTAAGCTCTTACACGCTGGACCGCAGTTGCTACTTGCTGCGGTGAGAGAAGTTATTTGGCCGGTAAATGGAAGGCATCTAGCGAGGAGTGTAGTGTTTAACTGTGTGCGATGTAAGCGTTTAAATGCCACCCACGGAGAGAATAACGCCTAGCTACCCCTTTCTGTCTGTAGGGCTGGACTTTGCAGGACCATTCATGATATTAAATAAAAAAGGTAGGAGCAGTCGTTTAATAAAATGTTAGTATGTGCCTTTTCGTTTGTCTGCGGTATAAATGACACTTAGAGGTTGTCACTGATCTTACCAAGGATGCATTCGTGATGACGATTCGCAGATTTATAGCCCGCAGAGGAAAGCCATCTGAAGTTTACTGTGACAATGGAAGGAATTTTGTTGCCGCAGCTAAAGAAATTGGTAGGTTTTTGTCGATTTCTGCAAAGGATTTCTGAACTCTTGCAGTTCAAGATGGAATAAATTTTATTTTCATTCCTACTTATGCTCCACATTTTGGAGGAATTTGGGAAGCTGGCGTCAAGTCGGCAAAGGCAACTCTAGAAGAATTAGTCACTTTGTTTGCACAAGTGGAGGCTATACTCAACAGTCGTCCCTTATGCCCTCTCTCTTCCTCTCCCAATGACCTCCTTTTCTTGTTACCGGGGCACTTTCTCATTGGAAGACCCTTGACAGCGCTGCCTTCGCCAAACCTGAAGGATGTCAAGGAAAGTAGTCTTCGACGCTATGCTAGGCTGGAAAAGCTTCATCAGCACTTCTGGAACCGATGGCAAAAGGAGTACATCAGCGAACTCCAACATCGAACAAAATGGAGAACTAACAAAGGCAGTCTAACGATTGGTGATATGGTGCTCCTGCAAGAGGATAACGTGCCTCCTTTATGCTGGCGTCTTGGACGGGTTACCAGACTATTCCTTGGATACGACGGAATCGCGCGAGTAGCTGAGCTCAACACGATAAGGGGCTCCGTGCGGCGACCCTTGGTTCAGCTGTGCCCGCTACTGACTGAAGAGCAAGTTAATTGTTGAAAGAATGCTTTCAACGCGGCGGGACGATGTTACGGCTCGTCGCCTTCATTGATGAAGATTAATATTTTGTACAAAGGAGGTCCAATGACCTACGCATGTTTTATTCTTTTTTAGTTTGTCAATGTCTTTTTTTTCTGTTAGCCGTTGTCAAGGCTGCTTTAATTTATATAATTTTCTTACTTACAAAATAGCATTACAAAAGTTATTATTAATCTAAAGAATAGTTTTATTTGGCTCCATTGTGTCGAGACAAGACATATATATATATATATATATATATATATATATATATACCCACCACCACCATACAAATACAACTATACAAAATATGGCACTCAGAGAAACCATTATCTGGTTGAAAGTAAGTATCCCATGTGCTGGTTCGCACATAGGATACTTACTCTTAATCAAAGTCCTCTACAACAAAATTATCTAAAATAACTTTATATATATTTTTTAAAGCATGTAACAGCTTGATGTTTAAATCTAAAGAAAATATAGCTAGAAAAAATCCACGCGGACCAGGCAGCAGGCGGGACTCGAACCCGCACCCTTCGCAATCCGGGCGAATGCACTGACCAATTATGCTACCGCGGCCCTCACGGACCGCGTCGAAATTCTTCTTCCGTTCCGTTCGAGTCCCGCCTGCTGCCTGGTCCGCGTGGATTTTTTTCTAGCTATATTTTCTTTAGATTTAAACATCAAGCTGTTACATGCTTTAAAAAATATATATAAATATAATTGCTATTTCTTCTTTCAAATGTTTAATACTTGTAAAAGTATTCATTTGACATTGTGGGTTACCTATAATGCGAAGAGATGGCGCTGCCTTGCAGCTTAAGAATGGCTAGAAGAATTTCGACGCGGTCCGTGAGGGCCGCGGTAGCATAATTGGTCAGTGCATTCGCCCGGATTGCGAAGGGTGCGGGTTCGAGTCCCGCCTGCTGCCTGGTCCGCGTGGATTTTTTTTCTAGCTATATTTTCTTTAAAATAACTTTTTTTAATTTGCTTTAAAATAAATGTTTACTACTACATTTTTCCACTTTTGGACTTTTGTTGTTCAAAAATTTTGGTATTATATATTTCTGAGTTCTTTGGCCAAAAAACTTATTAGCAATATGCTCAACATATCTTTTTTGTGTCGTTTCCCTGAGTTGACGTGTTGGTATTATACAGGCCTTTAATCTGTTTGGCCCCGAAACTATGGATTGACGCACTATTTCCAAGGGAAATTTCGCCACTGCTTGCTCCAAAGATTTTTTGAGAGACTCAATGTCGTTGTGTCGTTTAGAGCAGGCCATGTCCTCTTAAACTGACCATAATTTGAAGTCTAAAGGATTGAGGTCTGGGCTAGATGAGGGCCAGTCTTCAGCTCTTGTAAAGTCCGGAATTTGGTTGGTAGTTTGGGCCTTGTGACCAGGTGCAGAATCCTGCTGGAAATCCACAGTATATTTATAAAAAGTGTATTGCTGAGAGGTTTCGCAACATGATCCAAGACTGTATTTTGGTATACCTTGGGCTGAAGTTTTCACTCCTTTTTCACAAAAATGTAGTTTTGTGACTCCTTGATAAGACATGCCCCATCAAACCATCATTGACGCAGGATGATGACCACGTTGTACCTTTCCGACTACTTGAGCAGCTTCTTTAGAACTGTGAGCGTACACTTTATCAAAAATCAGAAATCAGTATATCTTTAAATTGGATGTATAGTACAACTCTTTTGATCCAAATCCAATCGTCCAAATTTTTTCCCCTATGACTCGTTATATACATATTTTTTTATTTGCGGAGAAAAACGTGCGAAAAATGCTCCACAACATTAAAAGTCTAATGTAACAACATTTACAAATCTTTATGTTGTTACGACGTCAATACAATTATGATTTATTTAATATAGAAAACCTGTTGGAATGATTGGAACAGTTCAAACCCAAGTGATTTTTGTCTGTAATATAATCAGACACTTTGTAATAAGCTTTTTTAATAAGTGTTTTTTTATACTATCTTTAAATTTATTTATGGTTAACTCTTGGATATTGCTTGGGACTTTATTGTATAAGCGAACACAAAGATCTTTAAATGAATTATTAATTTCGTGAAGCCTAGTAGCAGGTAAAGTTAGTTTATTTTTGTTTCTTGTATTAAGTGTGTGAACATCACTGTTTTTAAGAAACAAATTAATATTTTTTCTTACAAGTAATTAATTTTTGTATCTGTATTGTGATGCGACCGTCATTATTTCAATTTTTTTAAACTTATCTTTTAACGATTCTTTAATTTAAGATTATAAATTGATCGAATAGCTGTCTTCTGCAGCACAAAAATAGTTTGAATGTCGGCGGCATTTCCGCAAAATAAAATTCCGTACGACATTACACTATGGAAATAACTAAAGTACACTAATCTGGCCTTATCTACATCCGTTAATGGCGTATCTTCATTACGGTATATGCTGCAGAGCTAAGTCTATTTGACAATTTATCAATATGTGAGCCCCATTGAAGCTTAGAATCTAAAGTCATCCCTAAGAATACTGTGGTGTCTACAAGGCCCACATTCCTATCCTTTACATTCACACTGGTTTTAACCTGGTTTACATTAGGTAATAGTGATGTAACGAATGTCATTTTTTGAACATTCGCGAATGCGAATTCGGATGCGAATGTCTGGTACCGACATTGATTGAATGCGAATGCGAATATTTTATTTTTTTTAAATTGGCGCCAATAGTCTATGGCATGGTGGCAGTCTCGTTCGAATTGCCGAGTTGATATGAACTCATCCGACTGAAGTGTAATTCCGCTCGCACCGGTCTTTCCGTAAACAAAACAAGTGAATTTTGAGGTTAGTGATTGTGAGTGGTAATTAGGGTTGCCAACTTTTTTTGATAAAAAAAAACCTATATACTGGTTTGGATAGGAAAAAAATAAAGTATTAGGAAGAAAAAAAAAGTATATTTCAAATTCTATGTTTTTATTGCTTTAAAAACGTATTTTTGTGTGCTTTTAGCACATGCTAGCAATTTTTTGTTATCTTGAAATGTTGCAAAGCTTGTTTAACAATCAACATTTAAATAAATAAACAATTCGTTTTTAATTAAATTTATTGATGCTCTATTTCTTCCTTCTCGCCACTTTAGATTCATTTCTGAAAAAACTCTTTCAGTGAAAGCTGAAGTGGCGGGAATGGAGAGTAGGTAAGAAATATTTTTTTTTATATTTGGTAAGCTATCAGATGCATTTTTAAGTACATATTGCCATTTTTCTACTGTACTTTTCACAGAAAATTCTTTATCATCATTAGTGAATTTTCTCTGGATCTCTTTAAGTCTTATAAATTCGGAATACACTTTGTCCATCTTAATATTTAATCTGTCTTGTAATTTAGCCTTTGTAATAACCATTTCAAAATGTTTAAATTTTACCTCATTTTTCAAAGACATGTTAGGAGGTATTGAAAGCCAGTTATCTTCGCTAAAATCAAACCATTTTATCATATAATTTAAGCTCATATCAATAAAAAGTGAAAAGTTACTGATAACTGTATTGAATGTTTTGGGTGATGACTTTCGAATTTTTTGTAATCTCATTTTTGATTCATAACCAAATTACTTATCAGTTTTTCTTTGTTCTAATTCGTTTCTTAAATTATCCATAATATTATAGACATCTAGTATAGTCACATCATTTCCTTCCAGACGTTTTATCGTTGTATTAAATATATAAAGCATGTGGCTTGTAAAGTGTAGATAAATTTCCACAACATCCCTATCCTGTTCATCACTTAGTTTTAATAATTCTTTTATAATTATTGGACAATTATCACCTAAACTTATAAAATAATTACATATTGGTGCCCAATTAAGTAAAAGGGTGTCAATGGCTGGAAGTAGTGATAACCAACGTGTACCAATATGACGTTTGATTTCGTGAAATTCGCCATCAACCATAGTAACAATTTTTTTTAAATCATCTCTTCTACAAGCAGATACCGAAAAATGACTATATATTTTTAAAACAATGTTTTCTATGTCACAAATCAAGTAGCCCATAGCATGTTTCACTGTATTATGGATAATGTGTGCATGACAGTTGCCTTTTATTAGGTATGGTACTTCTTTTTTAATATTTGTGTACAATGAGTGATGAATGCCAAAATTAGCATTGCAATTGTCTGCACTGAGACCTGATACTTGATTAAATGACAGGTTGTGGGAATCCATAGACTTCTTCATAGCTTCTAACATGCCATTAGCAGATTCATTAGAATTTTCGTAAAAATCTATCAGTTTATTTTGGATCCCTTCATTTATTGAAAAATATTGCACTACGAGAGGAAATAACTTAATATTCTTTTTATTCAATGCATCTGTCTGGAGACAGAAAAATACATCATCATGTAAATCATTAATTACACTTTCCACGGAATATGGACCTAATACTTCTGTCACTAAAGCTTCCATTTTAGTTCCTGCCAAGCGTATTTTACTAGCTATTTTGGAATTTACAAATACAATTTTGTTTATTTTTTTTAGGCAATCCATGCTATTATACGATAGATTATGCTTCACAGTGTGCAAAGTCAATGCTAATTCCGCTGCTGTAATATTCTCATCATCACTAGATTCTTGACATCTTGATTTAGTATTTGATGTAAGGAAATTTTGTAATGCACCAGATGTTTTCTTCATTTCAGTTTTCATCTTATGCTTCTGAGTATTTTGATGTTGCTTAATCTATAGTAAGAAAGAAACAAAACTGACACCACCACCATATTAAACCATCACCATTTTCAAAATAATACTGAATCATGAATTTCCTATTCTTCAATTGAATGACAAATATTAAAATATCTATTAATATAATTTTATCCAAAAACAATTATGTGAATGAGAATATAAACATTTCAGAATTCTGACAATTAGTATGATTTTTTTTTTATATTATTATAATAACAAGTAACAAGATCATTTTTAAAATAACTCATAGAATTTGAAACATTGAAACTAATTTCTCATGCTCATGCTTAAAAAATAATGTATAAATTGCCAATGCAAACTAGATTTTCAAATATGCATGCAACTATAACTGTTTTTAAAACTTTTCAATATAAGTCCTACCATATACGAACTGGTGACTTTTTTTTGTCAAGATGTAAAAAAACCCAATGAATTAGGCTAGGTGAGTAAGTTAAAAAATGTAAATAAAATAACTATATGAAAGGGGAAGCAAAGTAGCTTTAACAATATTTGTACACATTAATAAATTTTCATACCTGTCCAATGCCAGCTGAGCTGATTGTAAAATTCACGCCGCAGGTAATATACATTTTGCATTAGTTTTATTTTGAAGATCACTTGTTATCCAGTTGTATTGTTTTTCCCACTCAGGTTTATACTTTTGTAAGACTTTGGTTATTTTAGCTTTTTTAGGAGTCACTGGTGTGTCGCTATCAGAATTACTCGCCATTTTAAGCATTAATATTTACTTTAAAATGCATTCTTCAATTATAAACAAAACCAGCGGACTATTTTTGTACAATTTCGTCGATAGTGAGTGAGTGACATCTGTGACAACTCAAAAGTGTCACAAGTCACAACTGACATCTAACATTTCGTTCAGTAATTGTAAATTGTTTCCATTATCCGTTTTAAATATTTCATTCAGTAATTATAAATCGTTAAGTAACCATAATGAGTATTTTGTTTTACGAATCATAGTAAAGGTTGAAAATAAAGTATTTTTGCATACTTTATTTGTATGTAAAAGTATAAAGTATAATTACCAAAAATAAAGAAGGATACGTTATTATAAAGTATGGTTGGCAACCCTAGTGGTAATAGTGATTTATTAACATGAGTAAAACGAATTCTAGTGAAACATGGACTTATTTCACACTTTGCGATGTTGAACGAGCCAAATGCAAACTGTGTAACAATGAATATTCAAGGAAAGGCAGAACTACAACTTCTTCAAAATGTTTGTTTCGAATATTCGTATTCGCAAAATATTCGCAGAGATTTTGCGAATGCGAATGTGAATGCGAATATTCAAAAATATGCGAATATTCGCGAATGCGAATGCTAATATTCGTTACATCACTATTAGGTAATACAAATTTCATACATTTCGTTTTTCCTTCATTAAGTAATAAATTGTTAACATTGAACCAGTGGACTACCTTAGAGATACAATTGTTCACTTGTTGATTTATTAATATGACTGTAATTATAAGCACTATATTGCATATATATAGTGCATTTAATTACTTTGAGTTAATTGTTTAGTGCAAAAGTTTTGTTTTCGTAACTGTGTAATCGATTACTGAATCGATAATCTCACGAAAACTATCTTTCTCATATTTCTCCGCTTCCAGATCAAGAATTGAAGTGATTTTTTTATATTCTTAGATAAAATATGATGACTAATATTTTAGATCATATCTCAACTTATTACATTTAGGGCCACCGTTTTCGTTCTGTTTTGGTATGTCGAGCACATCTCAGCTTTAATATTTCGCTGCAGAAATAGGAAAAACTCATAAACCAAATCTGACATAAACCGCGGCCTCGGCACTATCCCAAACTTGAGGATTCCACTTTCCTACGAGAAGATACTGGAATGAAGGCAGTTTCGACATTCGTAATATCAATCATTGGACTGTGAATATATTTCACAAAATACAAAATGCTATAATATACAAAATTTGCGTGGTAGTATGAAACCACGATGTAAGTGAAACTTTTTGTGTTTTATGTCGCCTTTTTTTCCATTGACTGAAAAGATTTTTTTCGGAAAATACCAAAATAAAAAAAGGTCTTCTTCGGCTGGGAATTGCAACCAGCAGTCACGCAAAAATCATGTATGAAGAAGTTATTCTCCTTTAAAAGTTCTAAAAAAAGTCCGCAACAACACTAAAATCCTTATTTTGGTAATGAAAGTTGTTCTAAAATAATGAATTATCTACGAAGGTGTTATAATACACATGATAATTTATTCCTTATGAAAATTAATACATTACTCATCACAAGTATTAAATTTTGATCAAAATAGTTCTTGACTTCAGTCAATTTCAATAAATATATTAAGAGATAATATAGTTTTCAAATGCATACATGCATAGGAATTTGAAAGCCTTCGACGGTCGGAAATAACAAAATGAAATCGTAAGCAGTAGCAATAGCCATAGCAATTCCGTTAGGCGATTGACCTCCTGTAGCGGTGCGAGGTATTAACATGCCGCACGGCTCAATCACGACTCAATCACACAAAAACTACTAAACGGATTTAGATAAAATTAGGTGCACATATAGATTATGCCCTGGGTTGAGACATAGAAGGCTTTTTATCAGATCACAGAATATTTTATTATATATTCTCTTTAAAAATAAATAATATAATTAAAATAAAATAAATATTTAAGGGGGCTCCCATACAATAGATGTGATTTTTTGTCGTTTTTTGGTCAATATTATAATATAGTGTGTAATGTTGTTTAAATAATGGTACGGAACCCTTCGTGCGCGAGTCCGACTCGCACTTCCGGTTGTATCACATAACAACGAGGCGGCCAATTGCCTAACGGGTATTTATAGGTATTTGAAAGCCTTCGGCGGTCAGAAATAATAAAATGAAAGCCATAGCAATCCTATTAGGCAATTGACCCCAAAGGCAAGTATCAGGCCTAGCTATAATCGAAAAAAATCTGTTGCCGTTCATAAGCAATAACATTCGGTTTTTTCGATGTTTCGGAACCTTCTGTACGCGGGTCCGACCTGCACTTGGCCAGTTTTTTCATTTTCTCTTTGTGACAAAACAAGAATTTATTTTGCAAGTGATTATTCAAATGCCTCAGTTTTGTGTAGACTTGCGAAATTATGTAAATTAGTCTGTTATCTTTTACTGTTTCAAAAATTATAGAATATGCAAAATACGGTTTCTGTCGTATTAGCAAGTTTTGTTCATTTATAAAACAGTTTTGTAGCGAGTGTTGTACTCAATAGGGTTTTATTATAGAGATTGTCAACGAGGATAGCGCGGGTATTTACATTATCAAGTTTGAGTGCTATACTATGGATTTGCTCGATGGCAATTTGAGAAGTTCCTTATTTTCTAAGTTATAATAACAGTATGCTGAATACATTACACGTGAGATCTATAAGTATCTTGGCCTATCAGGTTCCAAGTACCTTCATCTTCTATTTCTGAGAAACTTTTCCATTTATTAGATTGATAATAAATTCATAAGCTAGGCATTATGCCCTGAAAGGTAGAATTTTATTTTTAGCGCTCCCTCCTTCCTTTTAGTGTCCTCCGAAAACGTAAAAGCTACTTACTCTTTGAATTAGATTTTAATTTTATAAATATATTTTATACTGCTAGATTTATAAATCTAAGGAAAATTTTACTAGAAGAAAATCCAAACTAAATCATCCCGTCTCGACGGCTGGACAAATTTTCTTTTTATTTATCAATCTTTGCAATGCTATTATTGATCTGTTAGACCTTTTCTGTGGATAGAATACGGCAAAATGCTTCAACTTTACACGCAGGTCGGGTAAGATTGGAATGAAATGATATGAAATGAAAAGTCATTTATTTATTCAGTCTAGTCTGTTACAAGCAGTTGTGAAGGTCAAGAAGCTACGCCATTGGTTCGCAAAACTACGGCGGGAGACCTTGTACTGAGAAGGACCGTCAAGAAACTAAGGACTGTTTTTTTCTCCCTGTATTGTTATATACAGAGTCGTCAAGTTAAAAGTTACATCTTCCATCACATTATTTAGAATATAAATATATAGTTACAATAAATATTTTAGTTAACATTATATTTAGTATATATGAAGCGGCATTAGATAGGTACAATATTACTGTAATAAAAAATGACTAATATCCATCAAATAACAAATTACAAGAAACACTATAATAATCAACTTTATAGTAGCCCTTATTCATAATAGTATTCTTAATCTGAGATTTAAATTTGGTCAATGGAAGCTCAATCAGATCTTGGGGAACTTTATTAAACAATGCAATACTACAACACAGAAATGAACCTCATGATTTTTGGAGTCTGAACCATGGAACGGCAAGCTTGTTCTTAAATCTCGTGCTAAAGTTATGGGTGTGGCTTTTTTTTGCAAATGCATCATAGTTTTTTCATATATGTAATATATTAAATTTTTATAAATGTATTGCGACTCCAGTGTTGAAATATTAATTTCTTTAAATGTTTCTCTAAGGGATTCTCTTGCCTTTAAATTATATATGGCGCGAACAGCTCTTTTGCCGTATGAAACTATTTTCGATATTAGCAGCTGAGCCCCACAACAAAAGGCCATATGACATAACACTATGAAAGTAACCAAAGTAAACTAATCTTGCCGAATCCACATCAGTTAAGAGTCTTATTAGTGCAATTAAAGTTCTTAATGCCACACTCAGAGAAATCAGTTAATTTTAAGTTTTATACATAAATTATTAAAGTATTAAATTAAAACTCAAGCAAATGCTTCTTCACATTTTAAATTCTAACCTTGACAAGAGAAGCTACTAGGTGAAGTGCAACGATGAGCTTTCTGGTCTATATGAAATCAAATCAGGTGTCTGATAAGGCAGCATAATGGTACCTAATATTTATCGCAGATATCTCGACATCTGATAACATAACAACTGCTACTAACCTAACCTA